CGAATGCCTTCTGTTCATTTTTTTCAACACCTATTCCATTTTGATAACAATATCCAACTTGTTTTATCGCAACAGCACTTCCCATCTCCGCAGATTTCTGATAATATTCGAATGCCTTCTGTTCATTTTTTTCAACCCCTATTCCATTTAGATAACAATATCCAAGGTCATTTATCGCATCAATATTTCCCATCCCCACAGATTTCTGATAATATTCGAATGCCTTCTGTTCATTTTTTTCAACTCCTATTCCATTTTGATAACAGTATCCAATTTGTTTTATCGCAACAGCATTTCCCATCCCCGCAGATTTTTGATAATATTCGAATGCCTTCTGTTCATCTTTTTCAACTCCTATTCCATTTTGATAAAAACGTCCAACATTATATATTCCAGCAGCATTAAATTCATCACTCTCATCCATTTGTTGAAATTATAAATAACCTAAAAAAATCATAATAAGATAATTATTATTAGTCCATAAATCTTTGAAGGTAGCCGTTTTATAGATTTTTGCAGTAATAGTACAAAGTTTCAAACGTTCTATCGTGTGACTCATGAAGATATAATTCGATATTAAAATGATGGGTCCAATGTTTAGTATAAGAATCTTGCACAGTATAGGCAACACCATTAATAAAAATATAATATTATTAATAATTGATTTAGAATAGGTGTCATTTATACAGTACAAGATCCAAAGCGTTTTTGACCAATTGTTATCTCTCGTATTTTAAAAGGGAGGTTTTAGGCATCTCCCGCGAGAGACACACCTCTCCCACAATTTAGTATAACGTAACACGATTAAGAAAGTTCAAAAACGTTGGTTCGAAGAAAACGTTACTCATTTCTCAAAATAATGCATAAGAAACCTTCTTTTGTGCTCTAACAAAAAGTTTTTCTTGAGCAAATTTACCATACTTTCTTTAAATCAAACGCTAAATAACATAAATAAACTTTAAAGAATTTTGGGAGATAGAGATGCCTATAATTTCCCATTTTAAAAATTGGGAATTGATGTTTTCATGAAAATGAAATGTTTTCAACGCAGCATGTAATTCACAAAAAGTTAACCAAATGTTTTTCTTAAAACAATTTGTGACAAGTTCGAGGATATGAAATTTATTTAACGCAATATAAAGACAAATTTTTATTACTTACTTCTTGCATACAAAATAGCCACGATACAAGTGCTTGAAGAGAATAGTTTATAGAAACTGTTGCTGATTTAATATGATTTACTGGTCGATCATGATTTGTTTGTGGTGCAGATCGTACGACATAATCAAGAAATCTAAAAACCACAATCTCCTTATAGAGACAAAGTATAACGATAACAATAAACAAGTGGCATACTTAAATCAAATATTGTATTTCCTAAATTATTATCAACAAAGTGTGCGTGCGTACTTAATTACGTAAATACTTTATTGAAGTAAGACATGAAAAAATCCGAGAGGAATTCGTTCAAGATCGTTGCCGAGGTGGCTCGGGTTGATCTAACCAAAATCGATGCTGTATAACCGGCCTAGCGTTCCAATTTCAGGTGTGCAACAGACCTTAGTTTGCGTATTGTTCATATCGATATGAAATTCCGAAAAAAGTGTATATCCTGTAGATCTTTTTTACTTTTAGATGGCTAAAGCCGTGTCCAGTTTATGCATGTAGATAATCTCTATATAAAGGTGTATGATCTAGAATTCTCTTTGAATGCTTAATTGAACACCTTATGCATACTGTTGAAACTTAAAATAAGTCGCCTTATCTTCAATATTATTTAATAAGTAGCTGCGCGACGTTGTCACGCAAAACCAGGAACGGAAGGTGGATTTTCAGATCGAGTTGCAGATGAAAC